TCTTCTTGCAAAGAAGAAACATCGCCGATCTCCAAAGAATAAAGAAGTCCTCTAATGGACTGCCTCCCAAGGTGCATATGGATTTCTTAGGCAGAAATATACTTGTGCATCATGCTTATATTATATTGGTCTTTGTACATAGCCAATTATCACACGCACACACACAAATGTAAATTGCAGCCAACTTGATGGATGTCTTTTTCGCCATAACTACTGTTTACAGGTTCTATGGATGTCAGTAATTACAAGATTTGCAAGGCAGAAAATTTGTGGCTACATTCACACAAATAGTAATCACACATACGCAAACACAAATGACAAATCACACAAATGAATTCTTAGTGAACACAAAACACGGTCCCAAAAATCACATCTTTAATAAAGTTTGGTTTTATTTGCACAAAAATGCTTTAAATCAATTTTTATTGAAATTGGTTGGTAAATACAATGTCTGAACGTAATACAGAGCCCTTGCATTTTTAAAATATCTTGCTGCTGATATAAATGACTCAAGCAACCTTTTGAATGTTTGAACTTGTACTTAAAGCAGTATTAGTGAACGGCTGCGCACAACTCTTAGTAGTTGGCTGCAATTTAAAATGACTTGCTATTAAAAAAAACAATCTTAAATTTCGAACATGCGGAGCCTGTTCAGATGCTCTTAAATTTGCCTCATAACGAATTACGGTAGAAAACCTATTTTGACTGGGCTTCCAAAAAGATTTAATTTAATACGGTAGGATTTGCCCAGACATTCAACAAGAATTACAAATATAAAGGCGATGGCAGATAATTAATTGTAGATTGTCTATAACTTAGCATATCAAATTCGCTAAAACTGTTTTGTGGCTAATTAAAATGACGAAAACACTTACGTACTGTCAAAAGAATAACGGAATGCCAATCATGGCTATATGTTAGTAAACTATCCATTAAAATAAAAAATTCTAGAATTAAAAATTTTTACGCTAACACAGCACAGAACAAACTACAGTTGAGCAGGGAAAATGACATTTAATTATTCTACTTCTTTAATTCCAGAAATGATGTCTGAAATATATTTCCGTTTTGACTCAATTTAGAATTTAATCATAATTTTCGTTATGTAACCTTTGCTGAATAAACAAAGTATTAAAGACAGTAACATTACCAAACATGGGTTAATTGTTTGATCTTACAAATGTCTGCGCGGCTGGTTTATCGTCAATGTGTTGACGAATGTGCTTCTATTCAGGCACTTGTCAATTCTATTTTGTCCGTAAACGATGATCGAACGAGCGTTGTTGAGAAGCGAAAACGTCTTGATACACTTCATTCCGATGCACGAAGGCACTTATCAACCCTGAAGGCCTATATAAATAATCTTGAACAAATTCGCGATTTTGGTTCATCTCCTGAAAACCGGAAAAAGTTTAATGCGATCGAAAACCAATACGCTTCATTTCTTGTAATTTGATATTTTTAACTTTTAAACGTGCAAGAAATATTATCGTGCCTTTCTTCTTGTAATCAAAACAACTTTGGTAAATGCGTTTGGTTGGCAGCTCATCGTTATCAATACGCGGTGGGTTGTTTCTCTTCTCAAATTTAGTCTATCCAAGTAGAGCTTTTTTAAGTAGTCAGAGGAATGATAATTTTAATCATTATACCCTTTTAGATCACAGGTGTGTTTCCTGATATAGGTGTCGTTCACTTATCTAGCTGTTTTCTCATCTTAAATTGCACACGTTTTTATCTCTTACCAGGATTCTTATCGAAAAGCCGTTTACACGGCAACAAAGAATTTGGAAACTTCCGAGAGGAGTGCTCTTCTCTCTGGCTCCAAACCCGTAATTCGTGACGCGGACAGATTTAACGATCTCCGCAGCCAAATGGAGGCGTCGATGCAGCTTACCAGTGAGATGCGCGTGCAGGCGCGGCGGCTAGCTGAAGAGGTTGCGCGTGGCAATGCAAATGCCGAGTTAGTCGATGACTCGTCGAACCAGTTTGAGGCGAACCTCAAGGGCTTGAAGGAGATGGGAGGGCAGCTCAAAATCTCGTCCCACCTTGGTGGGCGCCTTTCGCGTCGTCGCGTGATTGACTGCTTCATTTTTACACTCGTTTTTGCATTCTTCTACCTCACTTGTGTGCACATTATTCTTAAGAGGCTGTACGTTTATCGATTATTTGGGTAATAGTGTTAACAAATGTCTAATAATTAGTTAATTTGCGAATCGACGGTCCCTCTAAACTTCGCCCGGTAGCTCATGAAGCAGTCAAATCTGCAGTTTTCAGTATTCGATTATGAAGACCGGAGCGTAAGCGTTGCCGGAGCAATTTATCGGCCGATTTCGCGGTCAACGTTCGTCGGTCTGTTACTCAATCGACAATGGACTATTGTTGTCAAGTTTGCGCCAATAAAGCTTCATTTTGGCTCCCCTTAGGTGGTACGGTAGGTTTTTATGCAGCAAATATTGGTCTGGTTCCCTCACGATGCATTTAGGCCCATTAAAAACAGCTCACCAACGATTTGATGACGACCCAGAATGGCAGTTTGCCTCGTGTAGGACTTTCCTACCTTGTACGACCAATTACTACGTCAAGAGCGCTACCTTCCTACCCAGTTGTCCAAAACTCCCAACAGAAGCCCTAATCGATTAGCGAGAGAGGAAACGCAATCTCGGATATTTACTCTGAGTAAAGGAAGGGCCAAATAGGTGGGAGTAGGTACAGTATATGGCAATCAAAAATAGTCAAGTTTCTTCGGACACGCTTGCACGCTGGTGTCCGAGTTGCCGTCTTTCGTGGGAGGCGAATTTGTCTCCGCGGACGGCGGTCGCGCATCTACAACAGATAGGATTTCCACTGGCTCCGCTAGACTATTTTACAAGAGAATGTCAAGTTTGAGTGTACACGAGGTGTGGCCAGTTGTGGCTGTTTAGTGACTTCGACCTGAAACAGAAGACAAGCTGGCGTTGAATGGCCCAAGCAATTTAGTAATGAGACCACATTAAAAATCTCGATGGTCGGGTTTGACGAAGTAACGAAGAAGCACCAAAATCGGATTAATCGAAACCCTGGTTTATGATGAGTGGACAAATTAAGGGTTGCCGTGGTAACAGCGACACACGCGGATTTTCGACGTGGCGGAGGCGGCGCGATCGTGTCGGTGCCAGTCTAATTCAGCCTACTCCACAACTCACCTTTCTGAACATTTTTGTTTTGTGGAGCTTTCACCTCTTTTACGAGCTAAAATAAGAAAAAAATTCTTATTAGTGTAGGAATTTAGTAAAAAGGCTACAGGACAATTGAATAACACAGTACCCGGAAGGCCTATAAGTGCGACAATTAATAATGGTCATAATTGGGGGCTTCGTTGAGACAATTTACCACATTTTGAGCGTAGACGAGGGTGATAAAAGGCGCCCAGACAACCCAACCTGCCAATTACGCTCAATGTGAGCCATAATTACGGTTTATTGCCGTGTTGGGCGTGTTCGAACAGAGAAAATAAGTGGCCTGGACAAGTTCCCTTTGATTTTTAAGGCAGAAGGAAGCGTCGTTTAGACCGCAAATTGTTCCCAAAAGAGGGGAAAGTTTAAGGTTTCCTCTCCTAATCCAAATTTAGACAAAGTGTTGCTAACAGGCACGATTCAGGCTGTCCTTGGAGTGGACTTAATCGACCAATGTGGGACCCCTTCACTCAAACGAACGCATTGTGGGATTTTGAAGGTTTGAATTGGCCGCGGAGGGCTAAGGTCATTTGACGCTAAAGTGATCAGGCTAGGTGTCTTTTTAGATCCAACAATCGCGTTTTAACGCCATTTAATCTCTATCAATCCGGTATCGATCGATATTGGCAGGTTGGACGAGCACACGAATTATACGATCCAAATATGCGATTGGTTGGTGTGGTGATTGAAACAAAAGAATTGGTAATTTAAAAGGTAGGCCTTTTTGGTTTTGCTTAAAAACAACTAAGCGACTTTGCTTTGAAAACAAGAGAATTAAGCGTAAAAGAGGGAAATAAAGTGAAGGACATTAACAACACCAACAACACGTGGACCAGCGCCAAAGCCAATACCAACGCCATCGTCACCACCGCCAGCACCACTGGGGACACCATCAACACCAACACAGAACCACCACCATTCAAACTAGCTTTACCGTCAACGCCATCGCCACAGCCGATGTCGCAACTACCACAAGGGACACCAGCACAACAAACGTCACCATTCATACCAAGAGAACCACCACCGTCACTAGCAACACCGACACCAACGATGCAACCTCCACCGATGCTTCCATCCACACCACCAACGCAATCCACATCAACACCACTGCCGCCATTAACACCAACAGTACCACCACCAACAGCACCACTGTCACCGTTGACGTCATCACCACCAACGTTGGAACCTCCACCGATGCTTCCACCCATACCAACACAACGTCCACCACCACCACCACCACCACCGCATAACAGCCTCCACACCTTCAAGAGATGAGGTAGATACCTTGATGGCTTTTACTTGTTCACTCTGGGTAGGTGGTGGGGCGACCGACCGCGTGCCAGGCTGCCGGTAGCCCGGGATCACGATATCTCGAAGTGCGTGCAGCTTGTACCAATGCGGCTGTCCGTCCAGGGTCTCTTTTGCTAGACAAACAAACATGGCATCATGGTAATTTAAACAAAACGCGGGAAATTCAGTTTTTATCGATTTTCGGCACTTGATTGCAGTAAAACAAACCGCTTCGACACCAGCTAGAAGGCCAGTTAGCGGATGAGCTCACGATTATCGAAATGGACCTCAAGGTGTGCCATTCGTGGATCCCATTCTTTGTGCTACTACTTAATTCCGAATTTAGTAGCTGAGACGTATAGAACTTTTGAAAAGGCGGTTTTTGCCGGCACGTCAATTGAAGAGTCGCAAATTTGACACAGGTGATAATTCTGTGAATTTGATTGATAAGCTCTTCAGTTGAATGTAAAAAGCTCGTTGTAAACTACAGTTTTATCCTATTTCAATTTCAAGTTGAAAACCGATAAATCTTGATTTCGCGCCCCAACACTGTATCCATTCGAACAAAACGCGAGACGCCAGGCGACCAATCCAACCACGGTAATTAAAACCCAATTCTAGAAGCGCGCCTCATCAAAATGTCAAGTTTTAAAAAATGAACTCACATCCCAAATGAATAATTGCCTGTCCCATAAAGTCGTTCATCTTGAGGCGGTCAAAGTCCCACACCGTCACTTCAAGCACGCGTTTCTTGAGAGTTCGCTTAAGACAGTTCATGAAGACCACCGTCTGCTGCCACTCTGGCTCCAGTGTATTCGGGATGTACTTGATCTGTCTGTTGAGGTCGATACTGTGGACGAGAGTAAGCAAAAAACCATGACGAGCTCATACTACTGATTTCGGGAGCATCAGTAGTATCGATAGGAAATTTCGGGGTAAGCATGGTGTGTAGTTTAGTGAAAGTCGATAAAATCGATATTTTAACTTTCTGTCCCTCCGCGCAATTTAGGCCTGCCCAAGGTCAGACCAAACATTCCAACAAACCAATCCCGTTTTAAACATGGAAAGGACCTTGCAATATTTCAAGGGCGCGAAATTCAGGCCGATAAAAAAATCAGTACATCAAACGTACTCCTCGGTTGGGTCGGGGTGTAGCCTCAACTTGACGAAAGGATCGGCCAATCCGTTGAGGTCCATTGGTCGAAGTCCACGTGCTCTCGCCACGTGGACGGTGAGACTTTGGTCGTAGTCGTCGAAAGTGAGTATCAACTACGAGAAGGGTAATGATAAGTTAGGAAGAAATTGATTGGGCCTAACAAGATTAGCCAATGAGGAGGTCGATTTGCACCCGCAACGTCATTGGCTAAGAAAGTTTAAAGAATTTCGATTTCTACCTATCAGGCGCCAGCAACATCACATGGAAACATTAAACACCTCCAAAGAGTAGTACAAGAATCGACCGATGTGATTTAAATTGAGACGGCGATTGTCTCAATGTTCTAGTAGAACGCGCAATAATTTAGCCTGGCTTTCACCAATTTTTTTTCCAATTAGTGCTACGTCTCTACGGGCAGACAGCGTAGAGAAGCAATCTTATTGGTGGAATATTAGGCAGTACTTTTAACTTAAATTATGGCTACGCCCATAACAAAGTCGCGAATCAAACACAATCTATATACACTTGAAAGAGAAAATTATGTCACTAACGAGACGCCCACAAAAAAATCATGAAGTTTATTTGTGTCGAAACACCAATGAACCAGCGATCCTAAACAAATCGATTTTTTTTACAATTTTAGAGTATGTAGTGTTAGCCAATCCGCTAACGGTAACAAGGCGAATCAATGTTCCCTTGTTTTGCGCAGACAGGCGGAAAAAAAGGCATTAGTTACCTCAATTTCACCAAAGACTGGACGGGCCTCGTCATTCGCCAAGTTGGCATCGTCATTCTAGGCGAGAAAGAAAACGTACGTTATTCGTAAAAGGCGCTCAACTTTCTTTCAATGCATGTGATTGGTTATATCGTGTTGTCTTGATTGGTAGTTTCGTGAATCCAAGCTAGCTATCGAATAAAAATGTTAAGTAGCGCAGGTGGACAGAATGAAACAAGGTATTCGTGGAGTCTTGCACCAGTCACACATCTTGAATGCCTGTCGAACCGTGTCAAATTTCACGTCAGCTATGGATCCTGCTTCCACTTAATCGAAACCGCAGCTACGGGTCCAGTTACCCAGCTGCTTAGCAACTCACAAGGAATCTATCAACCCTGACACGGGCAAATTTCGATGTGTCTCGTGTGTGTTGGCGGAGGAATCGAACGCTTTTCACAGAAATCAATGACTACCTGGAAAAATCGCAACAGGTTTGATGGTTAACTTTTAAACCGCATTGACTACACTAGCCGCAGGCAGGTGGTTCCAATGTGACCCTCCAACACACACGAAAAAAACCACTTGCCACGGTTTGGTGACCCACGGTGTCCGTCGGTTCGCGGTGGTCGCCGTCGTACTCGGCGACATTCACGGTGGGCACGACCTGTCGCTGCTGGCGATGGACGCTCACGCGGTCCGAGGGACTTGCCGACGGCTCGCTCGCATTCCTCTCGGATGGCGGTGAATTCGGCGCCTGCTCGAAGCTTGTCGAGGCGTGTCCGCGCTGTTGGAAGCCTCCACGCAGGCGCGCCTGGCTGGGGTCGGACCAGTCGCCAGATCGACAGACGTGTTGCTGCTGCTGCTGCTGTTGCTGCTTGTGGATGCAAGATGGCAGCGTCGAATGTACCTCGCAGGTGTGCAACATGGTTCCGCTTCTTGGTGGCTGCTGTGCCTGTTTGCAGGTGTGCTGTTGGTGGAAGCAACCTCCTCCTCCTCCACCGCCGCCGCTGCTGCCGCCACCGTGGAGGCTTTCATGGAGGTGGGAACTCGGGTTGTGCGAGGGACACAGTTTCGAAGGGTAACGATGCACATCTGCGGCTACAAGGCATTTGAAAATGCGCCCTTTTGACTCAACAACACACACAACTTCATAAATTCGATTCAACCGCGCCCACCATATTGGTCATGGCGCTCGCTTAAAAAGAACCAATCCCCGAGGAGTGTTAGATGCAATAATGAATGAGCAATTAGAAAACACCAAAAGCAATTATATGAATGCATCAAGTAATGGTGATTTTAAACTAAAGATATGCTACTTATATTGTTATAATCACTTACTGCACGCACACCGACGAGAGCAAGTGTGATGGGGAGGTTCCTGGTTGAATGCGCGAGTTGATGTCGTATCCGCGGATTTACTAAAAAAGGCAACTGCACACTAAAAATGCCGCTCTTCTATTTTGTTTCTTATTTAAAACAATTTATGCTTCCGCACACCATTTTCATATCGACCGCGCACCTTGCCGCCCCCGCATTTCATTGGCTCTCATTTCCATGACTGTCAAGGTCACTAGGGGCTGTGATAATTCAGTGGACTTAAAGCACTGGCTCTCGTAAACCAACTCACGTCCCCTAAATCCGAGCAAAAATGAGAACGAGTGGTGGTTGCTGAGATTCTCGCAGTGGACTGATTCTCCGGATTGCTTTAAATCAAGATTTATTTAGAGAACAAGTTCATTAATTAGTCCACTTAGGGCTGAAGTCGTGTGAACGATGGTACATTCATTGGCATTACGCGGTGATTGGATGTCGGTATTGAGTACACAGCAACCTATTATCACGACCGGAAAGAAAACAACGGTGGAATATTGGACTGGTCAAGGCAGAAGCACACGAGTTCTGATTACCTTCGAACCAGCAGTTCAACTTCGTCGGCTGGCGTGTCAACAATGGCTTGTACTTCGGCTGCGCCCTTTCCGACCAATGGAATGCCGTTCCACTCAATGACTTCATCGCCTGAAATGGAATTCAAGCCGACTTAGAGCCATTCACTAGCGAATCAGGCGTCAATTTTGATTTTTTGATAAACCAACCGGTCAAATTAACCTGGAGATCCACTGTTGAGTCTTTTGGTACATTTTTGTGGGTAATCCAATTACATTCGTTTAAGCGACCTCACCGTCTACCAATGACACACGCTGTACTCAAGGTCACTTCACTTTATGGACGATTGGACAAACCGTTTACTAGAGCAGGCAAAGGGTTTAAAGTGTACACTCTAGGCTAAAACGTAACAATTTGAGTGCCTTGTTTAAATTAATTCAGCAAGCCAAGTTCCCGCGTAATTTAGCTCACTAAAGCAAAATGGTACCATACAGACCATCCTAGCAATTTTTAACTGTTTTGATATAAATCGAATTCGTTCAAAGTCATATTATTGCCACGGTCCCCAAAGTGGAAATTCCGAATTTTTTTTCTAAATATAATAAATAAATTTGTGTAAATTTGCGGTAGCGGTAGAGTTGGTCTACGACAGTCGTGGTACACACACCGTACTCAAGGTTAACGTGGTTTTACGAATGATGGGATAAGGCTGCGTGTCGGGAAAATTTTGACTTAGAAAACGGTCTTGCAAAAAAATCGGGGAGAAATGTGAAAGCTGTAATCACTCACAATCGACTAACCGGAGCTTCAGGTAAGCATTTTAATGCAGAACAAACAACCTATCACTTCAAACACAAAAATCCTTGTATCTTCACAGTAAAAAGCACAATACGTCTCAGAAAATCAAATTAAACCGCCTTCAGACCTAAGGAACAAAAGAAGTGTCAAAAAAGAACGGATTTTCATTGCATTTTATTTGATGAGCAACATCCAATCACGTTGAAGTACTCAGTGGGCTCGAAGCTGATTGGTCAAAGTTCGACCAATCATAACGCTACCTTGTAAGCACGCAACTACCCAATTAAGCACCGTCATAAGGGCACGTGGAGAAGTTACAAATTACCTTCAGAAATTTCTCCATGAAGGTAGCCGAGAGTATCTCCTGGGTGGATCTGTTCAACGAAGCTGCCAAGTCGACCATCTGGGCGGGGTCGTCCGCCAGCAATCTTCAAACCGAATCCACTGCCCGGTAGGCGACCCTTCGAACTGCGCATCAGAAGGAGTCGTTTAGTGGGGAAATCGTAGGTTCTTCTGACTACTTTCGTGGGGGTCAGCTCCGTGGTCTGCAAGGTCAAGAGGTCAGAGTAACGATCGCTTGACATTTACGGACACAAAAGAACGATCGTACCTGATTCGTCCCGCGTAGCCGACTAGACACCTCGTTTGTGGGTTTCTGCCACTCACCAGGAACTAAAAAAAGTTATTTAAAAAATTTAATCCAGCCATGTTGCTGCATTGAACTTATTGTGACTTTAACTAACAGCCAATAAGGAGGATTAAAATGATTGACCAATCAGTGGCTGGCTATCTCGTGACCTTGAACAGTCACCTATGAGTAGTGTTTTATCAACTCAATTCCCATTTGTCGGCCGCTTTGATGACCAATAGGATGTTAGTGTAGGCCACAAGAAAGACAATCGGTTAACGTAGTTACAGCTGGACAATTGCCAAATTTCGTTCCTGACTTGCAACAATTTTTTCTATTAAAAAATAATATTTATCAGTTAATACTGCGTCCTTCATTCACTATAACTGCCTCTCAAGATGCTGCAGTGTTTGAATTCTCCCAAAAAAACTAGTGTTTTTCAAATTCATTTTAACTAAGATCTTGAGAAAATTTCGGGAAAATGCCATATCTGTGGAACAGCATGTGGCCTGTTTTAATATATTTTGTCCTGCCACCAACTGATTGCGTTTCCTCACCTTAATGAACAAATGGAATCAAAAGGCAATGTCAATAATGCGCAGAATCTCAATAATGTCGCGTTACCAGACAAACAATTAACCGATGAAAAACGACATTGGTAAGAGCGACATACCGGCGCCATCAGTCTCCATGTCGGATCTTCGAGAAACGTCCTCCAGCACGACACCTGACGACTGCCAGCCCCCACCACCTCCGTCGACGTACACGCCGGCACTGTTTGACGTGGAGGTCACCGCGGGCGTGGAAGTTGTCTTCACGGCGGACGCTACCTGCTCACCGCCGCCGCCGCCGCCGCCTGTCGACAACTTCTCCGACAGCTGTTCCCTGTAGTGCACCAAGGTGGCGGCCAAATCAGGCGAGAGCTGTTCCAGGAAGGCCTTCTCGCCTCCGCTAGCTTCGGCGAGAGCTGTGTAGGCTGCCATCAGAGTTTCCGGATCATTCCAGTCGTAGTCGTCGACTGTGGAGGAGTGGGGTGGGGGGTTGACGTGAGACGGCTGTTCCGCCGAATTGGTGAAGTTCGCCATCGCCGTGGCGGCTGCAGCGCCTGCCACAGCGGCCAGGGTGACCTGGTCGGCTAGACTATTCTGGTCTGGCGCCTGATGATGAACCTGATTGGCAGGATTCGCGAGCAGCTGCATCAGGGCAGGGTTGCGTAGGAGCTTCTCCAGGTTGGGATTCGAGAGGGGATTTGTCGTGCGAGGCGCGGTTAGTAAGGTGACCTCTTGAACCGGAAGCACGCCGGGTGCAGCCGGACTGAAGTACTGCTGAGGGGGGTTGGGCTGTCGCTCGATACCCTTCTCCCAGCTATCGGACATCAAGCTTTTGAGCAGTCGTCGATGCTCCCGCTCGCACTGACGCCGCAACTGCTCAGCCGTGGACTCACGCCCGTACAGACGGTCGACTGATGCCTGTCTACGGAATCCGGGGTTCTGTGAGGTTGCGGCATCCAGCTTGGCGCGCAGTGTGTTGAAGGAGGTTTCAATGCCCTTGTAGTTGTCCAGAAACCCAGTCGACAGCTGCTCCGTCGACTTGGTCAACTCCCTCAAGTGTTTGCTGTGAAGACTTCGGCTGTCGAAAGGCGTTGCAGCCAAGCCCACCTCGTGACTGGTGGCCGCAGCCAGGCGTTGTGGACTGAAACTCCGCCATCGCGACCCACCATACAAATTCCGTGGAGTGCTCCAGTCTAGGGTGGGGTAATTTGTTTCTCGATCTACGTGCCAACTTCCGCGACGTTTGTAAGGCAGCGTGGACGATCGGTTGCCCGAGGTACTATCATAAGCTGACCGGACTAGAGAGAGCCCTCCTGAAACCTTTCCAGAACTTGGCGTCTTGGATGGCTTTCTCTGATCAATTAGACGCTTTCGATAGCTGCTGGTTGAGCCGCCGGAGTCCCCACTGCCGTATTCATCAAGCACGCCACTTGAGTACCGATTTACGCGTTGGTAGCTACCGTTAGGACCGATTTGACGCAGAGCAGAACCCGATGCTGACAACGCAAGACCTTCCTTCCCTCGCAGTTTCCGTGAACTCAGCTGACCTGAGGAGATTCTAGCATGCTTTGGCGACATTCCCGCGGACGTGGACCTATCTGGTGAAGGGCTCCATTTGGAGGGGAAATAGTTGTCGCTGTCGCCAAACCTTTGGGCTATGGAGACGTTTTTGGGCACAGAGGAAAGGGTGTAGCTGCGTTGCTTGTTGTAAGTCGATTTACCGTGGGGTGGTACATCCGGTAGGCGTAAGTGCGCCTGAGACAGTTGATGCCGCACATAGGACTCGTCAAACTCACTCGGCGCAATATACGACTGACTACGCCGGGCTCTCAACGGCGACGTCATCTTCACCAGCACAGGATGATCGGCAGTGGTGAGGGTTGAGAGAACGCGATGTGTGGTGAGGGCAAAGTGCTGATCGGCGTCGGTGTCGGGCAGTTGCGAGCACTCCTCCTCCTCGATTGTCGTGCCGCAGATTTGGGTTAATCGTAGACGTCGGGTTTGCGCAACCACGCAACGGCTGGCGTCAGCATCAAAGATTGAGAGAATAGCGTCAGAGGAGTCGAAGTAGGCGGCGCTGGTACAAGTGTCGACCCCCCCGCTGAGAATTCGGATTGCTCGATCGAACTGTCTGGAGGTGCACCTGCAAGGCACACTCCACAGACAACTTCCAAACGGCCTCACTCGAGTCCCCTGTACCTCTGAGGACGTGGGACTGTCACCACGAAGGAGGGACAACTGGTCAACCGATTGGGAGCGAACTGGCTCGGTAAAGAGGCTTAGTGGTTCCTCTTCCTCTTGCTGCTGCTGCTGCTGCTGGTGCAGTAACTGCCGTGGAATACGAGAGGAGTGGTGGGCAAGTGAGTTTGGCAACAACAGAAAATTACTCTCCTCAACGGGAGGGGTAGGAGGGTAGTGGGTGGTGGTAGGGGGTGTAGCAACGTCCTTGGATCGATGCAGCGGGCTTGCAACGGCCTCGCTACCAATGCATCCGCCGCTTTCCGCCTTCGCCTGCTCTGCCACCACCAGCCCCACGTGCTCAACCTCCAGTGGCTGTGTTTGTTGTGGCAACTCACGCGAAAGCGGTCGATAGCCTGTCCCTTGGGGTGTGTCCGTAACACCATCACGCGAGTCCGCCTGTCCGTACGTCAGGCGCGACGCACGAGCCTCCATCGGCCGGGTCGTCTCACTCGTACCCTTGAGCTCAGCTGGCTGTCTGACGTGTTCGCCGCAATCCTGAGGCGCCGCAATCGTTCCAGCACCTCTGTTCTCTGCGTCCAATTCATGCACATCGCTTTGTTCTCGGTTTTTAGGCGATTTTCTGGGCAAAGAAGGCAGCTGCCTGCGACTGGTTGATTCAGGTCGGCCTTTGAGTGCCTCATTAGAAAAAATTACATTTGGACGTTCCTGGGTCGGGGAGTGTCCTGTTCCTAAACACCTGAGCTAAAACCAAACAGACAGGCAATGCCACCGTGTCAATAAATAATCAATAAGAATAATAAGTTAAGATCAGTGTTCGCCCGGAAATTTGACTCAATGAATTCTTTCAAATAGGACATTCATCGTAGCCAATGAGAAAACGGCCTTGAGGCGCGCCAACGCCAGCGCGGCGCAATGCGCTGATTCAGTGTTAAATCGATTTTTATCGATTAAATACTAACTGCCTCACAAAATAGGGGCAATTAATGCTGCACCTGCAATGCCTTGCAAACAGGTCAAAATGTCTAGTTCAATAAAATTGAAAGTGTTTGGAAAGTCAAATTCTATTGGCTAATCAGAAATCGGTTGCCAGGTGATCATATCTCACAGTAGCCAATCAGAAGGCCTATGTTGTTTGCTGTAAAATTCAGTGATTTAGTCAATTGTCTTCGGGAATTCCGCATCGAAAATTGCGAAATGGTTTCGAAATTTCTAGGATATCATCTCTAAGCAAGTAAGTGTAGGTACTTTGTATACAACGTAAGAGTTTGACTTTAGAACGCAGCGCCATCTCCGATTTCAGAAATTTGATTGGCTGGAGAGAAGGGTGTTTGCGAATGATATTGAGCCTATTTTTACTGTCATCTGTCAGTCTTATACCTTGATTTAGTTACATGATGTGACGGGCAAAAACCAGTATCTGACGTGTATATTCCCATTTCGAAGACCACAAAATCAGATGTTTGCTACACCTGTGAAATACTGCTGGGAATTCGTTGAAATAAAGTACGATAATAAAACCCCTTAAAACAACCATCAGCCGAGCTAGATAGTCGGATTCAGGCAAGCTGGAAAGAAATTAGCCGATGCAAGATTAATCTTCAGGGTATTCATCCAGCTTTTTTGAAAAAAAAAGACGAAACTACTGCCTTGCCAAGGCATCATGACAACAGAACAAGAATCGGACTCAATTGGTTAATCTACAGCCTGAAGTCTATACCTGTCCGCAATTCGTAATTAATTATGCCCTCAGTTCATCTGGGTTTATTTCCAACGTTGCATCATAAGTTGTGGTCTCCAGTGTGGTTTAGTCAGTCGTTAGATGATTTGAGCGCCAAATTTCATTTAAAAAATCGATTTTATTGATTTTTTTCAACCCAACCGCATTGGATACGATTCGCGCTGGAGTTTTCAGCTTGTCGCGAGTTTTTAAGTGGATTTGCTGTTGATTATGACAACCACATCCCCCTTCGTCCTTGTAAATGTGCTCAATCAAATTTCCGCAGTTGGCGTGGACAGCAATGCCGCGAGCGGTCAACGTCCGATTTTCCTGGCTCTTCGTGAACTATCGACAAACTGAATTGCTGGAAGCTTTCGTGCAAAACTCGAAAATTAATTAATTAGCGCTCGTGCATTGCGAGAGTTTGGCAGCTACGGGAGCCGAATTTTGAAGGCAGCTCATGTCAAACTACCATGACAGGGGAAATGCCTCCGCTAGCAACGAGACAGCTTCTAATTATCTTCCTTGACGTAAATTCGCAAATTATTGGGGTCCGTGAGGCTCTAAACTAAATGCGACTTGACCTTGGGTCAACTGATAGCTGAAAAATGCACACAAAATGCTTTGTTTCGTGTTTATTTCGGAACATGATTACTCACTATATAATAAGCACTTTGAGTTTTTTCCGATCTTTCAAAACACCCACGCACACCATTTGCACACGCAGCGCCTTCATCCCATTGGCTGATTTCGCTTTGAACGGTCTGCCAAATTTAATTGGCTGTCACTGTCGATTAGTGCATATATAACTGTGCGAGAAATTTGTTAATTGTGTGAAATCAGAAAAAAAGCAAACTCCCGCCAATTCGCTTCGATACCACGGTGTTGCCACAAGCAGAATTAAACGACCTGCGCTGTCTCAAGTGTTTTCTAAATCAGATCGTATGAACGCCCAAATATTTACGCACCACGAGAGTGTCACGCAAAGCATAGAGGCAAGAACTTAGTGCTAATGGAATCAGGGGAAATGAAGCGGAAAAACAATCGCGTTAACGTCGTTGAATATCTGGGGTAATCTCTAAAAGTGCCTCATTCTGACGCTCATGCCTCCGTGGCTGTGAGTTGAGAGTTATGACTAATCGAGTGCTCAAATTGCACTCTTACTTGTAGTGAATCGTGTTGATTCACGTTAAACACCCAGTCGTCGCAGCCTCGCACATGTCCCCTCTGTTCACAACCTGCCCGTCAGTCACGTGAGGCCATTGGTCCATTAACACCTGTGCATGTCCCACCACCAGTTTTATTCATGTGACCTCACAAACGCCTGTGTTAATATTTACATGTCACTCAATTGTACACGACACAATTTGGTTGAGCGGTCTAGTAAAGGGTTGTGCCTTCCCCACTCCGGTCTTCTATGTTTTCGAGGGAACGCAGGGTAACGTATTCGGCCTAGATAATCGCATTGGCCCCGGCATGGTTCCAGACAACATGCCGGGGCCCTCAACATACTTAGTTCAATCCACAACACTCGGACTGCTACACCTAACCACACTCGTCAAATCAGTTAAGCCAGCCTAACGATTTCGTGGTGGATTAGTCATGGGTCAGGGGATCAACTGGTTGACCTCGGTGTTACGCGTCCTCACCGCCTTTCAGAGTAAATAAGAAGGAGCAGGACTGTTCCCCATCTAGACTCCTTTTTGCTTGAAGACCAGTTTGGAAACACTATTGCCTGGCTGATTTAAACCGAACCCTCTAATTCAAACAAACCATACCCACGTCTTAGCCCTTGAAGCAAACTTGGGGTCATGAATCAATTTGAAGACAAAAATCCGTCAACGTCCTGCGTCTTGATCGAACGTGTCTTGTTTGGAACAATCTCAACTGAGGTGCACTTGTAATGTTATTGTTCGTTGACACAGTTTATTGCACCGTTAATTCATTTAGAGCACCTTAATTGACGTTTCCGCTTCTTGGCCTCAGTTAATTCCAAGCTTAATCAGCCATGAACACCAAAACGTCAAAGGCACATCCAATTGGCTGGCTTTCTCCTTCAATACAGTCCACATTTTAATTGGCTATCAAATTTGTCCGTGGCATTCACACGAATGGACGAACAGCAGGCATTACCTGACATTCGGCATTTGCTCACTTCGCAATTCTTCACACTAACAAACTGGCGTTTCTGCGTGTTGATTTCAGTCACTGCTGAGGTCAATCGGCCACGAATATCATGACACAGCGACCGTGCATCTTTCCAGCCAGCATCCCATTGGCTAACTCCCACCTTGCGCGTAACCTCCATTTCATTGGTTATCAAATTTACCAATCACATTTAGACGAATGGGTGCACAGCGGGCAACCGTCAGTATTATCGCTGAGGCATCAAGTATCCCCTACTTGCAATTTCTGCATTTTGAATTCAATTATGTCGTAGCAAAGTCTGCAATGAACACGATTACACATCGACCGCGCATCCTGCCTGCTCTCATCCCATTGGCCTATTTCTACCCTGAATGTAACATCAATCTTATTGGTTATCGAATATGTATTGAGCAGATTAGACACATGCCACGTTTTTTTCTGAATTCCGCCACCATTAACAAGAACCTAGTGATGGGGTGGTAGTTAGATCGTTCAAATTTCAATTTCACCCGAAAGAATGTCACCAAATTGACGCTTTTTTCTTCAGAGCACATAGTCCCTCCGCGCTCCTTAATTTATCCAATTACGTTCACGTGATTAGTGAGATGCTCAACGCCAAAACGAGAATTTCTACTTAGTTTATTTTTTCTTCTTCAAAACTTTCCTTATCACAGAAATTATTGCCTTGCCGACCTATCTCAGTTCCAAATCACCTGACGCGCCAATAGAATCTCGTGCGCATATCATTTTCAATCCTTCCCTCGTCTGAAAAACTTCCTGTCTTCAGCACTTAACCAGAAGTAAAACAGTTTTTTGTTCCAGTTCCTGGAAATGCTGCTAACACATGAACAAATGAGGAGGTATAAAAATTAGTAAAAGGTCAAAATCCCTCAAAGAAATAAACAAAAACACACTTTACTGACCGGAGTGAAGCCGCTGGTGTGGTTAGCTTCAAATTGTGCGTAAAACCAACTGATTAAACTTACAGACTTAATTCATAATCTGAAGAAGGCTAAAAGTTGTACAAAACTGATTTGAAACCAATTGCAAACAGGGTTTCTCTTGGGCAGTTCTTCCGCTGGAGTAACGATACACCATCTGCTTACATGCCATTGGCTAACTTTAACCTTGAATGCAGCAGCTTTTTTATTGGCTAGCGAATTCACCAATGGCGTTTGGTCACGCAGGCATTGCCCGGGAAGTTGCGATTTACTTGAGATAGACTCGTTTAAATTGCACTTGGAATGTACTTTCGTGTACTCGATCAATATGCCTACGAAGAATTTAAGATACTTCATCATCTGCATAACCGAAATTTTCAATTTTTTTTAAATCGACCGCGCACTAATGTCGTCCACATTCTATTGGCTCAATCAACATTTTGTGAACCTTCGATTGGCAGTCAATGCTGCCTAGAGCTTACACGATTGGGTGATTCTGCTATCTGCAATACTCACATCATTGGTTGTTTCGACATGGCCGCCAGCATCTTTCGCCTCAGGAGACGTTGAGGTGTCAGTTACAACGCCTCCCACGTGGACACCATCTTCATTGTCGCCTCGGCCAGCCAAATGCTCCTGGACAGCACTCTCCTTCTGCTCCTTCTCCTCCTCCTCCACGAACTGACTCATCTCCAGGAGTTGAGCGCTGAAGCCCTTGGCAGATTCTACGACGTTTTTGGACGGCGGAAAGAGATTCGCCCACATCTGTTCCTCATGCTTCACGAGCACCTGATCCTCAGCATACGAGGTCAGTCCACGGACCGACACGTTCATCGAAGGGATCACCTGTCGATAAATAGCAAACTAGGCCGATGATGAGAAGCCTGGCTTCGTGACTTTCTTGCGGAACTGTCATAGCTTTGACCAAATATTACTGGCTACTGAATATTTGTTAGTAGAAACGTTGCGTTCATGCGCTTAGCTAGAATGCGACCCCACGTCGGTGAAATTAAAAGTAGTTTTCGAAGATATCCGCGTGGGCGTTAGTGATGTTAAACGTTAGATGAGCGCGAAAGGTAAACAACCAAGGTGTGTGTGTGGGTTGTGCGTTTTTTTTGCGTTCTTAAAAAATTAAAATCGAGGCTGACGATAGAGATCTGTGACTCTGAGGCCTTACCGATTGCTTGCATTCCCGACCCCAACTGCGGATAGGGGCGGTGAAAAAGCTCTCATTATCTCCACTGGACTTTACGGTGTCACGACTTTCCTCCACAACCGGCTGCAGGCCTCCTGCAACAGCAATCAGTTGGTTGATATTTACGAAATGTTGGCATCTATGCATCTGAAGAGGCCCGACTGTCTCCTCCTCCTCCTCCATCCCATCCACTGCCTCCCCACCATCATCATCGTCGTCGTCATCATCTTCGCTCCCGCCCACAATTATTCTCGACTGGCCTTCTTCCTCCTCCGCATTCTCCACAGGATTGACCTGGTTCCAGTTGGCGATGGCGTATTCTCGGAGACCGATTCCTTCAGGAATTGAATCGCCACCAACCAGAACCTCCGGTGGTTCCACGACCTCGGCGTGCAACAAGCCGTCGAGTGTGGTTTCGTGGAGTTGATGGGCTTCAGCAGGCTCCTTCAGTGGAGCTACAGTTTCGCTTGGAAGAAAGACGGTCTTTTCGAAAACGACTGGCGACTCGCCAGATTTTCTAAGCGAAGGAGACGACATGTCGCCGATTATGGAGGCGTGGAAGAGGGGGCAGGAAAAACTACGCTTTTCCCGTAGCACCTCCTGAGGTCCGGCTAAACAGTTGAGAGACAAGTGCCTCGTGACGTCAAACATTGATGTCTTTAGGTCCGTGGAGGTAGGTGGTGTGGACGTGTTGGAGAAACCTCGGTGCATATCCGCCAATTCCTCCTCCGCCTCTTCTGAGATCGGATCAAAAGGAGGCTCTTCACACTGGAAGGGCATGTCTTCGTCGTTGTCTTGCCTATACAGCCCCCATGGATCCGCGTAGTAAGCGGACATCAGGTCTTCTGGATAGAGGTCGGATTCGTCAACGTTGGAAGGAACAAGGTCACTGAATGCGTTCACGGGTGAGGTGCGCGAACGATTTGGAAAGAAGAGCGATTTGACACCCTCCGTGTCGGGACTTTCACTATCACTGGAAGTCGAGCTGTCGTCGTTGTCGAGGGCGTGGACATGGTACTGTGGACTGCGTGCCTCTTGAAACGCAAACAGATCCGTGAATTGGGGAGTTTTTGGACTTTCAACTGTGATTGTGGGAAGTGTGCGTTCCCGATTGGTTGGTACAGCCTCTGGGAGAAAAACAGTGTTTATTTTAGAAAGAAGCACCAATGGGACTTAAAAGGCTGATTTTGATTAATTAGCCTGCTACAACAAACCTGGAATGTCTATGGGATCGGGAATTTTGTAAGGAATTGAAAGACGTTTCATTGTAGATTTCCAACGCGACTGTACTTTCAAAGCATCAAGGAGTTCTTCGTAGCCTCCACAACTGTGAGCTCGTTGAATTCCTGAGGAGGGAATCTTCGAAAAAAAAGGACAAAATTTTTTACTATTAGAGTACATTTCGCTGACAGTACACGCACACAATTTCATCGTGAGTTTGCTGCTCGTAATTACAATGGTCTGATCTCAGTAAATTGGTGAATTGTGCTTCGACCAATCGCTTTCGTTCTAGCTCGTGAGAATCTGTGCTGATTGGGTCAATCAAAGTGGGGTCGAATTGAGAAAAATTTCTGGCAGTTTACTGTTTTGCAATTCCAGACGCTTTTACGTTAAAAGGAGATTTCACTTGTGTTTATAAAATGTGTTTAAAAGCAGCAACACCTCCGAAATCCAACAACGTAACTCCTGTGGCAAAGGATTTAGCACAGCGAAAATCAAGGGAGGAAAAGGGACTGAATGTACTTGACGACTTCTACTTTCGTTTTGTTCCAAGACTGCACACCAGAATGCCTTGTTGACACTTAAAATGTTGTACAAGCCATTACATCAGCCCCTCACGTGCACCGTTGCCTACGTAAAATTGTAACTTGATAAAAAACGACGCGTAAGCTCTCCCAACTGCCCTATTTGATATCAGCCGAAAATGCGCCAATGGGAATCCAGGACGTATCTGATTTGTTAACTTTTTTGTAACACAGATAAATCACGTTCATCAGTCTTTCCTTACCCGCCGTCTACTCTGAGATAAAACTTGGGAGTTACCTCAATTAGATCTAACGAGTTCTGCTGCGTCCAAGCACCAGAGCTGGCGATGAGCTTTCGTCGTCTTCGACACAGCCCGCAGATAATTCGCGCATCCTGGGAAACCAATCAAAAGACTATAGACATGGCGGTAGGAAAAAAAACGGGTTAAAGGTGAATCGTGCCAGAAAAACATCGCGTCTTTCTCACCTGAGTCGGCATCTAACCGAGAACACGCTAACCACGAAAAACTCCGTGTTTTTTTTTTACTAAAAAATGCACTTTTCGTGAGCTGGCTAGAAGAGAATGGTTTTCAGAATAATAATTTTCACTTTAGGAGTCCACGAACAGACTTCCTAGGCAAGATGAATCATTCCGCACATGGGCGAGTTAATAGAGCAATTGTGGACAGAGATGATTGGATAAAAGTGGGAACCAATGAAAGGTAGGGCTGACAAGCTGCTACCAATCAATTTGGCGTAAACTCGTGTGGATGTGAATCTCACAAAATTGTGAGTTTGAGGGTTAGGACATAGGTATCTCTCAAGATCATTCATAGTACAATTGAGAGTTTTCAATTATTTACACAATTATAGTCATTTGCCACTTCCATTGGTCACTTCACCTAAAGGCCCCATTGTGCCGCATGTCACCCAATATTAATTCTGTTCTGGAGGATTTAAACAAATCTATTTACGTAGAGTCAGTTTCATATGAAGGGTGAAAGTGGGTGCAAAATGTCACTTCACCGCATTGTCATTGGCCATTCAGCACGTAGCCAATGACAACAAAGTTCGTGAGCCAATTGCATATCGACCACCAACGCGAAGAAGTGAGCGTGGATTTACAGAGAAAAAAATTACGCTCAAATAATGCTTCAAAATACTACGATGAATGGGCGGCTTGGAGAAAACAAGTCAGAACAATAGCCAATCAGATTCGTGACAAATGTGTCTGGCCAATCAAAAACTCAAGGCATTAACCAGCCAATTAACTGACAGCTAGATATCGCAACCACGATTTATCGCGTCGTGGGTCTGCATCATTGTGCTTGTAGCAAATTCACGGCGATCGTTACTTAAGCTACTCGCAAAAGTCATCCCCATTGGCCACGAGCTTTTTGATATTAAATTAGAAAATTTCGTCTGTATTTCGTTGAACGAGAAAAGTGGGCTAAGTAGCCACACTGTTCCAAGTAGCGAATGACAGTCATTGTTTGAAGTGGCCAATTCACACCAATTTGTAACTTTGAATTCACCGAGCATATATCCTATTGGCTAATAAAAATTTTGAAATGCTTCTCCACTCTTTGAGGTTGTGTAGGTCACGCAGAAAAACACATTTTGCGCTTTGATTGCCTTTAATCATTCACGTTTTCGCAAAATGTTTATGCAGACTCGACCTAACTGGTGTTGGTGTCTTCAAACGAGCGTAGGAGGAAAACGCGAGTCAGTTCGTAAAAACAATCTTTCCGTCCATCACGACAACACAAGATGACATCCCTCATCAAGCGTTTTGTATTCAAAAGTATGTGGAAAAATAATTCTGTGCCCTGGATACTTTTTTCAAGAGTCGTTGCCCCTGGGAACATTTATTTTGTAAACCAGGCAGCTAAATAATGCATGAGGTGATAACTTCCAAGCAAGACCACTGAGAAAATTAACAAAAAAAGTCGCACACAAAAGTAACCGTTGTCTCCGGTTTTTGTAAAAAAAACTGCAATTATGTAGCACCAAGGGTAATCCGATTTTATCAAAGCTCAAACAGGAAAAAAAATATTTTTAAAGAAATGAAAAGAAAGATAATTATAATCTGAGATGACCAGTTGACCACCTAAACGAGCATTTTTAAAAATGCGACATCATCGTAATTGACTAAATCAAGGTCGCAATTTCCTAAAATGAGGTACAAAACTTTGCTTTTATCTGGTGCGTGATTGGCTCAGTTTTGACCTTGAATCTGATTTTTGCCAATCGACTCTTGCGTGTGATCAGAAATCAAATTCCCTGTTTGTTGCAGCGTGACAAGTATTCTCGTAGGAATGATGACAAAGTTCTCTCTTTTAAAAGTAAAATAGCTATATTAGACACATCTCCCCAACAATTCATTTTGATTGGCAGCTAAGTATCTGCTTTCGCGAATTTTGCTTCAATTCCAACCCTCGCAAACAACTCTCCCTCGCGCGCGATAACTGGGTGGCGAATTT